ATTACCTCCAATGTATATGATTATCTAGTATTTGTACATAATAATAAATGGTTCAAAGTTTGAGACAATAAAGATTTTGTTATAAAAAGTTCTCAATTTAACCCCTTTATGCCTGTTTCCTCGGACATAAAAATACATGAATGTACACATGTTCGAAATGAATTGCTCAAAACTGTAACTGATCTAAGCAACCATTATCACAAATAAAGTTTAGTTATGATAAGTCGCACTAATTGCGAAAATATTAGCGTTGGCATGTGTAAATACTCTGCTTCTTAGACCTTATCAATACATTTTGTCCTTATATAGATAAAAAAATTGTTAATTTTGTTGTATGTTGGTCATATTATGTGTTCTTAGACGTAGATCATTGAGTCATACCACCGCTTCTCTTGCTTCTCTCACGCTTACGCATGTCTTGAAATCACACCAACACCAATTCTGAGCCCTGGAGTGTATAGCACGGCTTCTGCTATTCTTATTTGTGACTGAAAATTCGAAGTAGCTTATTTTCAAAAAATGAATATGCTATTCATAATTTTAACGCCACACACCACAATCCTTAAAATCTCTATTATATAAAACTTGATTTTGAATTTGAAACAAGTATTTGACTAGTTGTTAAGTACCCAATTCACTCTCTTAACATAACCAAAATAACTTTACACATACCTATCTGATCACATATAAATAAGTGATTATTATTTGATTCAAAATAAAACTACGTACCGAATCACCAATTTTGTAGGAAAAAAAAATAAGAAAGTTTAAACCTATGCGATCTGCATCTTGGACCTGTAAGTTGCTGAGTTCAATGAAACACCTGCATGTCTGCAGAAATGCTCTTAGCTGCAATCAAAGTTGATTAAATACATCGTTGACTCACTGTCTGCTCTCCCACGAACATGATTCGCTGCTCGTAATCCTGTTATACTCTTTGCCGACGAAACTACTCCTTCAGAAATACAAGATCAACTAGCAATAGACAGACAGATCTTCATAAAGGTCTCGCATAAAAGTTAAAGGCAGTGGTTCCTGTGTCATCAATGGAAGAAGGAGTTTCATTAAGGCAAACTACTTCAAATACAGAACCGCTTTCTTTCAAGTAAAATTATCATGTTACAAAATGTCGTAGTGGTTTGAAAGACGACCGCTTCATGAGCGTTCGAAACCTGACAAGTACCGATATGTCTTTTTCCGAGTCTATGCACTTTCTGAGACTAATAAGACCACTGCCAAAAAGAAATTGTTAAAGCATACGCCCAGGTTTAATGGGTTAAATCGCCAATCCGCCTTAAGCAAGCGAGGTGATATTCATACCTGCTCCATATTAGAAGAGGCCCCTTCTAATTGCGCAGCAGTGGGCTCTTGTTGTTAAAATGTTGTCTAAAATTAAAATGTAGACAGTAAATGAAACTGTTGGCATATTCCTTACACCTGTTCACAATAAAATATAACAGTTATGTATTTATCCCTAAGAAATTCGCCGAAAAATAAATCTATCTAGAACCCATCACAACCTTCGAGAGTATAAAGAAAAGTAATAACGAATTTTATTCTTTCGAAACACTTCACCTCATTATCTGCTTACGCTTTCTAAATCTTATTACAAACAGTGTTCGTCTCAGTGTTTCTATTATGTAGCCGACACTTTCATCCATTTTCTCTGTACCTTAGCGACTTATTGTTTATTGCTAATAATTATCTATTGATGTTGTAGATTCTTCAGCTTTATCACAAATCTATTTTATTGAAATTAAAAATAAAGCCCCGCTGAAATACAAAATAATAATTCCTACACTCACACTTTTAAATCTTTAATAAGAGAAGGATTAAAAAAGTATTTTTTTTTTCTATAATAATGATACAATCCTTAACCCAATATTGTCATGGATTTGGTTAGTTAAAACTATTTACCATACCACACCATACCATACCACCATAAAGTAATAAATTATTATAAAGATTCAAGTGCATGTGTCTCACAACAAGAAAATGGTTCTAAAAAGGCAATTACTTGGTCGCAAATTGGTGACAACAGTATTAATGAAAATAAATTGACACTGCTCAGACGATAATAATATTAAAGGTGCTATTTTATAACTGTCTGACATTGACAGACTCTAGTTGTCAAACTCTTGTTTAATTCTCACTCTTGCAGCTACCTACCCGTTTGTTGGTTTTTTTTTGTTATAAGTGACAATTTACCATTCCATACAGTTGTTACATTACCCATTTTTATCTTCACTCATTACTTTGCCTCACTGTAACTGTAATTATTTACTGATAAACAGAACGAACGATATTTTCAAAATGGCCCTAATTGTTTTATAATGAAAAATAATCATTATCCTACCCACCTTTACTTACCGATGATTGTAAAATAAATTACGTTATACTTAATAGCGTCTAGACATCGGTCAATCTAAGAAACGAAAATATATAAGTCCACAAAGAGTTTAAATAACCTGTCATTTTTTATTCACAATTTTAGGCTTTACACACTAATTTTAAGTGAATACACTAGCTACCGCCATGAGACTTGATAGCAGACTAACAGACTGGCAGAGAGTGCACGAACTGGTTTCCCCCTCGCCGCTCTGCCTAGAGCGCGGAGCAGCGGCAACGGTACCGGACAAACTTCAAATGACAACCTTATAATATGTGAATTAATGATTGTATTACAGTGACGAACAACCGATCAACTTGGACTCCGCTGCTGAACTGTTAGACGCAGAGTATAACAACACACCGCCCGAGATTGAAGCATTCTCACCAGGAAATTTGATATCATATGGAACAATTGTAAGTTGTTTTGAATTACCCTTTACCCTTATCCTCTTAAAACGAATTCACAAGACCTTACTTGTTTCGTTGAATGAAAGTTCATGCCGACTTTATGATCCTTGCCTTGTAAATAGCATGCCTTCAAAAATTAAAATACTTCTTGAAAAAGTGGTTTGAATATCTTCTAAAATTCACTTCAAAAAGTACATTCATAACTTCACTTAGATCAACGTATTGTCTCTCTCGTTCCTTATTATTCTATCACCGTGTGTGACACCTCGTATTTTAAAAAATGATTATTTTTTTACTTATTTTCCAGGTTTCGGACTTGAACGCAGATGCTCAACTGTTTATTCCTCCATACGACAGATACAGAAAGTATCGTTCCATAGCTCAGGTACAGTTGTTTGAAATTGTGTATCTGTGTCGCAGCCAACTAGTTTATTCGTTCTAGGCTAGTATAGACCGCACTCGAGAACTTATTGACCGATTACGGTCATTTATAAAAAAAGGATAATATTTTATAATACAAATCATAACTTAAATTAGTTTGATTGTTTCAACTGATTAGACTTTGAGGTTAAATTAAATATTGAATGGGAATATTATAACCATTCGTCGTTTATTAACGGAGTAGAGTATACTCTCTACTATAAAGAGTGACACAAGAAATAACGTTAAAATCACCTTCTGTGTCCGAATTAATGTTTAGTCAAAGATGCTGACGTAACAGTCTTCTATAGATTCTATAGACGAAGTCTTTGATTATGCTTCACATGAGAACAATACAGGCTAATAATTCCATAATATTGTCATAGGTGATTCGAAAAGATTTTATTACGATAATGGTAAGCTCCGAGCTCTGTTGTCCATGGATATGTATGGAAGAACGTTTTTTGTTTAGTAATGATGGTTATTAACATTTTTAAAATCATTCTTACCTGACAAAAACAAACGGCTAAAACATACTCCTTTTTTTGGATATTGGTTAAAAATAGAATAAGAGATAGTTGAAAATTTGTTTGACTACTAAACGTACAAACAATAGCTTATTTGAAATGTGTATTGTATTTTAAAATCAGTCAGAAGGAATCCAATTTATGGATTTGATCTTTCCAAAGGTATCCCATTTATTTCGGTTCATGGGCGTGGTATTTCTCTTCCAACTGGTAGTAGAAGCTGTCAGTGGTCTGTCCCGTGCCTTGCTGCGAGCCTGTTGGACAATTTAAACTGGTTGGCTGTGACATATTCGTTCAATCTGTTCAGTCACTTTGATTTTTTTAGTTAAAACTTTGTACGTAACATATTGTAACCAAACAGATAGAGGTGTCATTTAAAGTCGGCTTCCTGACTCATAAGCTACTATATTTAATGAGGCAGTTAATTTCTTCTCAGAATCGAGAACATGACTTTTTTTATTATTTTCATTAAGTATCTTCACACGTAGTTTCATCTACGACTATATGATAATATGTATAAACACCACTTTGTGTAGTTTTTAACAAAATGTTTTATTTCTACAGTTGGAGGAGATGAAGGAATACAAAGAAAAAGAAGCAAAGGTGGCGGCTATTAGTAAAGGCAATGAGCTGATAAAAGCAGAAGTCCTTGCCAAACTACAACAGGCGCAAACACAGATCGAAATCGAAAACGAAGACAAGAATAATGCTAAGACGATTGTGAACGTGAAAAGTGACCCTGAAGTTAATGATGAAAGTCAAAAGAAAACCCAACAACGCAAGAGGAAAATATCTGCTGAGAAGGTGGAACAAAAGGAAACAGTCGACATCAATACTGATAATGTTAAGCAGGAATTAACAAGCAATAACACAAAGAAAGTTGATAACAACGTCAAACCGTTCGCGTATAAAAACGTCGACTATAAAAAGTTTTACAATCAAACTAACAACAAAGATCACAAACAAAAACAGCCCAAAATGAAATTTAAAAAATATAAAAACTAATGCATATTTATTAAGCGAAACTATACATTAATATATATAGTTCGTTTTATTCTACTCTGTAGTTTTATTTATCACCGAACGCCGAAATAAATGAAACACTGATAAAAATATTGTAAATTCATACTTTAATTTATTGAAAATGCATGAAATAATATTATTGTACAAAAATGTCTTAAGTTCTTGGCACTAGTCGAATAATAATTATCTCTCGACATGAGTGCCAAGAACCGTATTCCCCAAACAGGAACCCTATTCAGAAATATCTTCAGAGAGGTCTTCTCTTACCTTTATTTTGTTCTTGGCTGGTCTTCGGTTTGCATAGGCGCCGGAGTCGTTCCTTTCCTTCACGACCCCTTTTCCTTCTGCTTTGCTTTTAATGTTTACGCGGAACTTCTTATTGCCACTCCTGGCCGGTTCCTCTGCCTTCGTTACCTTTTTACTCCGATGCACAACTCGAGGTTGCACTTCGGTTACTGGCGAAACCTTTTCTTCCTCTGCTGCCACCTCGCGTTTTAAAACGCTCTTAAAAGTCTGTCCTCGTGTTGGCTCATGCAGAGAAAATGTGATTCGGTCATGATGTATCTGTTGGCGAAAGAAAACATAAATTAAACCTGACTGTTTCTTTGACAATTTTCATTTCTATACTATGACAATATTATCTTTCTTTTATGCAGTACATATATAGGAAAGGTAAAAATGCTCACCCTATATTCAATTGTTATAAAGCATTCCTCCTCGTCTTCACAAATAAGTGAATTGACGTCAGCAGGCTTAGCGGCATTGGCGGGCCGGCGTCCAATGCGAACAAAACGCCACAAGGAACGAATACGGGGCCCACATGCACGTACCATTTCAGCAACCTGTCAAACAATGCCAACAAATCATAAAGACTCCACCAGAAAACGATATTTTTTATGTGCTTAATACGTCGAAGTATAGCTCATATCTTGCCGTACTTCCTGCTAATGGTTGAAATTTTGGGTCTTCTATTATACTACCAGTTTAAAAAAACGCCATTACATTTGTTTCTTCGTCGTCGCTCGATCTATTTGCTTTCCAGAAATTAATATTCACTTAAATAAAAAGTAGGAACGTACTTTCATCTGTTCAGCACCGTCACAGATGCCTCCTGAACGGGGTTCCACGCCGAAACTGTTGATGCAGGCTCGGTCATCTGGTAGCAGGGAGTCGATTTGGAACGCACATTTTGGTAGCGCGTCCGTCCGTTCCTGTGCAGATAATAAGCAGATAAAAAACAAGTCTGATAACAAGCGACGTTATTGAACATTTTCTTACCCAGCCTATGTCGTCACAACGTTTGGGTTCATCATAGCATAGGTAGTAATTAATTGCTTTTGAACCATCAGTTCTTTTCTCAGTCGACCAAGTATACCAATTTTCACCGAATTTAAACATGCTGTTGACATGGCTCTGGCGGTAAATTAATGGAAATATCATTTCGTTTGGGTGTTGCTGTTTTGGTTTCTCAGTGGTAGGCTTTTCATCGTCTAACTCTATATGTTTATTATCATCGGCGTGCTTGCGGGTCTTGATGAACGGCATCATGGTGACGTCGAGTCTCTTCTTGTGGTCCCAGGGCTCCGTGTGCCCGCCCTCGTCCTCTTCCATCTTGGAGTCCTCCTGGTCGGAGTGCATCACCACCTTAACTTTGACCGCGAGCGCGGCTTGTAGCAGACACACGCTAAACACCAGATAACTTATCCGTCCCATTTTCGAGTGAGCCATTGCTCAGATCTTGCTATTCAGTTGTGCTCGGCTCGAATTGTTTTCGCCTTCATAAAGGAAGTTGTTATTGGCCGTTATACGATAAGGGTAATGTTTGTAAATATTGACAAAGAGTAACCATTCAGGAACCGAGAAAAGAAGAAAAAGAATCTTTGTTTTTCCTTCGTATTCGGAGTAGTTCGCAACATGTGTTGCTGATAAGTGGGGTGAAATCAAACACAAAGCCATTAGATTATTGCTTTTATTTGGGTACAAAGATGTAGAGTATAAAATAAAAATACTGCATTTGGTATCAACCTTTTTCATAAAACTTTGATTATGAAAATTAAGCATTTCGACAAATACAAGTTATACATCTATAAAATAAAAATTAAAGCATAAGTTGTATTTCTAGACTAACATTATTTTTTATCTATATAGAAATTGTATAATCGTATAGTACAAATAAAAAAGCGAGTGAAGTTTGGACCATTGTTAGGAATTAAAGTTTTCCATAGTGCTCGATATATTACATCAGCCATAAGAATTCGTATTTACAACATACATTATAATTTCCTTCTAACTTGATATCCGTTCATAGCATTAGGGTAAGAATAGCATCACTAAGGCAGAGAGGGTGTTTTATTGTACATTATTATTATTAGTGCCTAACTTTACTAACTATCGATACATTAGCATGAGGGAATGAGACTCCGTTACAAAACTACTCTTTCTCTCATCTGTACTATCAGCTAGACGTAATTAACGAACAAATTAAGGCCAGATAGAAAGTAACATATCTTAGTGTACGATAGTTGTCTACTTAGAAATTATTTAGACCTCTATGTGTTCAATTAGCCTAATTAACATTGGTTCCGTGTACGCGGCCGCCGCGCACAAGACACCCGGACAAGTCGCTTACGTAAACTGTATAGTTAAGTAACAAGGCGAATACGTGACACTGTGGGCTCACAGTGCCTCTATAAACACTTGTGTATATCCTATAAATTATTCTCACTTACTCTAAGCAACTCTTTATAATATAAAATATATCACGTCATAAGTTAAATTTGTTTATTTCATTGCTTGTATTTAGATAACTCAACAATAGTACTAGGTCGTTGATTTTGTAATAAAATATCTATCACGCAAAGTACAGATTAGCCTTTATTAATTATAATAAATAAATATGTTACACTAGACAGCCTCAGAGTAGATCTACAATTCCATTTAAAGTTTAAATTAAGTATATTTGTGGTAATAATCTGTAGAGTCGTTCACAATCATCATATATATCATCTTAACAACAAACTTTATCAGCTATAGGCTATAGTAATTAAAATGTTGTAAGTACATACGAGTATTGCTTTTCATAAGTAACGCGAAATTAATAAATTCATAGAAGAATATTAAGATATATTTTTTAAATTTCGTTATTTGTGCTATAAATAGTCTTCCCAAAAATATAACAGTGGGTGTCCTCTACGCAGCGGCCATCGAGATTCAAACTTTACTAACTTGCAACCTAAATATCGCTCGCTTACATCTAATTAGTGCTTAATTTATTAGGCTCATTACATTAAGCCGTTTAGGTCCACGAGAGGGGAACGTAAGAACTAGTGATAACACTATAAGCTTACGTTCGGATACACGCATGATCGTCAACAAGTCTATAAAAATACTAAGCTTATACAAACAAAATAGATAGTCATTTTCACCTTAGATAAAGTTGTATAACAATATGATTTACAAGATTAGATTCTAATAAATAAAGATGTAAAGATATAAAATGTAAATAAGAATAAATAAAGTTTACACAATATAAAACAAATCTCAGTTTCGGTGGAGTCATCGCATGTATCTAAACGCAACAACGGTCGCGGCCGTCGGCCCCGCCTGATATATTGTCAGAACAACTGCTCAATCTAACTTCAACACAGCAAACTACGGAAAATAGACAAATCTCAACAGCTATATTTAATTATTTCTAATGATTTCATTTATTCGATTCAGTTGCAACTATTACTAACAACTTACTATTACAGTAATTACGCCCTAGTTTATTGTTCATAGTGAAGTGTTGTACCAAAATAAATGACTATTCGATTTGGTAACTTTACCTTTCAGGAGCGACTTATTGCCAGAGAAGAATTTGAACTTAGTTGAACATTATCGTCATTATAACAGTATAGGAAGCATACGGTGCCTTGTACAGTAAGTTTCTAAAGGACAACACTGACGGTGAGTAAGTGTGAGGAGTCTCGCAATACGAGCAGGGAGTGAGAAGGAAGATCAGTTTCTTATGTCTATTATACGTAGCTCACTCGTAAAGTTACGCAGTACACATAAAACTATAATCTATTCACCGGTATGACTAAGAGCGGCGTAAAGTCCATGAGCTGCCAAATAAATCACATCACGATGTACTGACACTACGCCTCGTGATCACTCGCACTACATGAATGCTACTGACTGGCGCGGCCCATCTACTTTTACAAACCAGAGCATTCGACAAAGCCGTGCATGAAGCCGATCGGACGTGTGAAGCCACCTAACAAGAATTTCTATTAAGTACAAAAACCAGCGCGCCAGACAGAAGCATTCCTCGTCTTCCTAAGATCACAAGGAAACGAATTCGGAGCAAAGGCTGAGTACGAAGGTCCCACGGGCGCTGACAGGAGATCTCTTTATTGCACTGTATTGTCACATAATTATTAGTCATTTCTACTTTGATTTAAAATACTAAGAAATATATAATAGAGATAGGTTTAGTAAATATTCTATCGAATTAAGACATCTCCGTCGGCTAGCCCGTGGACACACCAAAACCTACTTTTTTTAAAACCTAGTCGCCATTTCGGCGATCTCGTGTGTCTCAGTGGGCTGCGTGTTGTAGCAGACGCAGCCCTGTCCCATCGCACTCAGTTCCGACACTCAACTTTTGCTCCGATTCGTTCGTTAATAACTCATGCCCGCGTAAATGTTGGGGCATGGTAAATGCCAGGATCACGTGGTCGCGTAGTTGAGGCTTTTGCGCTGTAGGAAGAGGTGGATCTCCGCGAAGGTGGGGCGCTCGAGCTCGTCGCGCCGCCAGCACTCGCACATGAGGTCGTACACGTCGCGCGGACACCCGGCCGCGCGGTCCACGCACTCGAACAGCGCGTCGTCCGCCTGCAGGTGCGACAGGTTCTCTAGCACCTGCAACCAAAACGTACCTCGTTACTTCTCATTCCAGTTCAAACAAGCAGATACTATAAAAGTTAATTGATTAGTAACTGTAGTGTACCTCATTATCAGTCAAATGTTCATAGGGCCTTCGTCTGCACAATGTGAAAATTTCGTGCAGAGTGATACCGAAAGCCCAGACATCGCTCTTGGTGGTGTACTTGGCCCTCAACACTGACTCCCAGGCAGCCCACCGCAGCGGCAGCGGGATCCGGCCGTCCACCTTGTAATAATCACATGCATACGCTTCGTTGTCTGTACCAAAGTCACTGATTTTCACTTGGAAATTCTTTCCTATTAGGCAGTTCCTGAAATTTATCAATTTTACGATTACCACGTGGCCAAAAATTGGGTAGTTTACTAGATCAAAAATAAATTAATTCAATTTTTCAATACGATAAAATATTGAAAAATAACTATACTTTTATTCATACCTGTCGATACACTAAATTTTCAATATTCTTTTTGCTAATTGTTAACAAATAAATAAGCTATCACCGTTTTACAATAATTCTTTGCAATTGAATACTAATAAAAATCATTCTAAAAATGAAAACACAAACCTGGCAGCTAAATCTCTATGTACGAAATTGAGTGACTCGAGGTATTGCATTCCAGCTGCAATCTGCGTGGCGAGGTGCAGTAGCATATGTGCGGCGGGAGGTACTGCGGTGCGGAGGAATGCACAGAGGTCGCCGAGTTCCAAGTACTCCAGTACCACGGCCAGAGGAGGTGTCCGACAGGCACCCAGCACTCGAGCCAAGTGGGGGGAAGACAACGCAGCCAAGATTCGCACGTCACGCTCAAACTCATCCCTATAAGTAACATTGTGTTATTTCTGTTCAAATGTAACAGTAATTGGGTTTATTTATATTTTATAAACAAAACTACGGTTTATTATTCGTTAAGTATTAATAAATAAATTACTTTACAGTACTTTACTATGAAAAAGAAAAAAAATCTCGTAATGAAATACAAGAACTGACTCTTATTGAGTTGTGTAACAACAGTCGGTACTCGGTATTTGCAGTTCAATGACAAGTACAATATGCTAACGCATTTTAAACAAAGAAACATCGTGACACAACTCCGACTTAATCTATAAGTTAGGAAAGATGGACGAACACGGTAGACGGTACACAGAAGTAAGGGGGGAAGGACAGAGACATGTAAAAACATGTATAAATCTAAAGCTCATACATGATATACCTCTCCTTAACAGTGGCGTCGTGGCACAGGAACTTCACGGCCACTAACCGCTTCTCGGACGTGATCGTACCATTGTATTCAGGTACACCGTCAGCCTCCGCAACGTATACCTTGAACAAATACCAAACGATAAAAATTAGTAATATATTATGTCAATGAAACAATGAATTTATTATTGCAAATAGGCCATATTAAAACGGCACTTTTACACGTCAATTTGTATGAGAAAAACTAGATGAAGCCGGCATTTACTATCTGACTACTCTGAGAAGAAATGCCGAAACAAACTCAGAGGTCAGTCTCTTTTGAAGTCCAGAAATGTCCAATGTAAAAATAACATAATGTGAGAGAACCGTATCAATCGCTTTATTCGATACTTCGTAATGAAAGAAAGTAGCAAAGTAAAAAAACATGAATATTGTGAATATTGTATACAACTTTTTTATCATAGAAATACTGACTTAAGAAAGGGCTATGCTTATAATGGGAATAAGTAATGTTATACGGATATAATTCGTTTTGATAATAATTGGAACAAAAAATAAGTATTCCGAAATTCGTGTGGGAGAGCC